TTGGGGGGGGGGAAATGGGACGCCTGTAATACTCTCAACAATAAAGATAAATTTTAAAAATAAATAATAAAACAAAAACAAAAAACAAAAAAAAACCTTAGGAATGCTGCCTTCCTGCACTCAGTCCTAGGTAATAAATACCCAATAACTGTTAATTTGCTTGAATTAAACTGAGATGAGGAACAACATTTAACACTGGACAATAAAAGGAAACAGGATAGAAGAGCGGGGTTTATGTCTCAGGACTCTCATTAGCCTCTGGGTTTCGGATAAGTCTGTATGTACTGTCCTGAAACTCAGTTACTTAACTGCTTTCTTAAAAAAAAGTCAGATGCATATGATAAAGCCTGTCTCCTGCTTCCCTTACAGAGCTATTGTGAGAATCTAGGGGGCAATGTTTTTTATGAAAGTGTTTTGAAAACGACCATACATCGTTATTTTTAAGGCATGATATTTTCATAGCATGTTAGACAAAAGGCAGAAGCCGTGCTAGGATTGTGTTTTCTTGGGGATAATTTATGTGCAACTTATTGTATGATTTAATAAAAATCGACCCAAGTTTTTTTTTTACACAGAAGTACCTTAAAATGACTTTGACATCATACATTGTTCAAATAGTGGCCTTAATGTGTGTTTTTTTGCCTCTATAATTGAAGTCATGTTGCAAAGATCTTTGTGTTTTTCATGGAGGAATTAAGAAGGATCAGAACACAGACATGTTTCTGTTAGAAGTATTATTTGCATTCATTCCAAATTAATGGTTTTTTCAATGATTATATCACAGAATGCCTAACTCAAACGTATAAGAATATCTTCTTCAGAGGTGGGGACGTAACCGCCCTGTACGCCCCGAGCGCCCAGCACTGCCAGGCGATGTGCACATTTCACCCCCGGTGTTTGCTATTTAGCTTTCTTCCTGCAAGTTCAACTAAGAACACGGACAAAAGGTAAAAGGTGATATTTCATTACTCGGGAAGCCAGACATTTTTCAAAACGGAATCAGTTGTGTGCCAAGTAATGTAGCCTATCACAGGGTTATGGTTCTCAAATGGGGTTCCAGGAATCACCCTGAGTGGTTCTTAAGTGAGCAATTTCTTAGGCCGAAGCCCGGACCCACTGAACTAGTCTCTGGGGCCTGGAAATCTGCATTGCAAATAATTGCTGCTTTCACTTAAGGTAGTAGAAGCTGGTCATCGTCTATCAAAGCCTTACAAGGAAAATGCTGGTGAATTGTTGGGTTGGGCGACCATTTCAAGAAAGGATTTAGTAATAGGTGAATGTTTCACCTGCACGAGGTCTCAGGATTGCACGTGTGGACAGCACAGTCCTAAAAAAATAGACTAGAAAGTAAGCATTTTGTTGAGAATATCAGTCCAGACCTTGTGGCCTTGGGAGAGGGCAGGTCTAAAAGGTGCTTATAGAGAGAATTTGGTCAGCTGGGGTATGTATGGGAGGATGGAAATATATATCATGAGCCGGTAATTTGGAAAAGCAAGAGCACTGAAAAATAGTTGGTAATTAAAAATCATTAGGTCTTAAAGTTGCCTAAATGCAGCCATACTTTCATTATAATTTTCTTTAGTTTGGATCAATATCCGGAATGAATGTTTCTTCATCATTCGCATTCCACATTTACAATTCTTTTTTATTGTCATTCTATTTGAATTTAACACATTGTTTGCGGGTAGTTTTTATCGCTCGCTCTTCTACCAGTCAACGTAAAACGTATAAATATTGATTGACTTCCTGTACTTAAAAATGTGAATGTAAAGGAAAGCAATGCTGAAGTTCGGTATTATGACGAAGATATTACAGCATTGCCTCTGCAAATGCTCCCTCCAGCAAGAGTGAGGGAAGCTGTCCTACTTCCCTTATTCCTGGCTCTATTTATTAGTGTATAAAAAGGCTAGACATTTCCTCAATGTGTGTGTATTACTCTACTTGCTAAGTGAAGCTACTTTTAAAACAGGTTTGGTTGCTTCTTGAAAGACAGCGTTACAGGAACCCTGCCAAGAGTGCCATGGACAAGCGCAATCTCTGGACATTCCTTAAAGCAGTGTGGCCTTCGAATAAGTGGTAAGGTGTGGCTTTCTCAGCTCAGTCTGAACGAGTAATGAGTCTACCTTGGAAGGGAAGGGAGCACCCAGAAAGATGACAGAGAGGAGCCGTGCTCTGGGCGCATCCTCTTGTCTTTATCTGTCACCGCAAGCTTAGGAGCCTCTATTATCTATGAGGTTAGCACTTCAGTGTAAGTGTTCAGAAAGGAAACACACGTCCAAACAGTGGTTTGCCCTTGATTCCAGGTAAGAATCTTCAAGAGAACATAGAGTGTGTCTCTACCTACACCAATGGTTCTTCCTGCTTCTCAAACAGGGGTGATTTTTGTCATTTTTTTCAGGCACATTTGACAGTGTTTGGAGATGTTTTTAGTTCTTCCAACTGGGAGATGGTACTATTGACATCTAGTGAGTAGAGACCAGAGATACCACTAAATGTTCCACAAGGAACAAGGAAGGCCGGGCAGCAAGATTCTCTACCCCAAATGTCAATAGTGCCCAGGTTAAGAAACCCTGGTAAACGCCCCCACAGAAGGCTTGGGTTCTATAAATCTTGCTAAAAATAACACTACTCAGAAGAAATGTGGAAACTAGGAGGTCAGGAAACTTTAATTCTGATTCTTATTGCTACTAATGTCTTGGGAAATCCTCATAAATTTAAGGCAAATGAACTATAACTCTAACATAACTGATCTGAAAGTGATAAGTACTGAAAAGATTCTCTTAACTGATAAGTTGGCAGAACCTTAAAATAATTATGTTGTGTCCATAAGACATTGCTAGTTTATGTTTCCTATCAACAGCTAACCTTGTAGTTTCAAATTTCAGGTGTTTGCGAATTTTCCCTTCTTTCTTCCCCAGTTACCACCACTCCCTCAACACACAGACACACATTTTGTGCTTGCAGTTTGTAAAGTAAGCAGTCCTTAGTTATAAACGTGGTGGTCTGACTCAGCCAATAGGAAGAGTACATTTCCTATTTTATAAGATCAAATTTGTATCTTAATATAATTTAGCATAAATTATGCAGCTAAGCATTATTTTTATTTATGGTATTATAGTGAAATTTAAAGAAAAATAATATTTTGCCTTTTCAATTCTCTTTATTGTTTCCCCTCCCATAATTAGTCTACTCACAGAGCTTGACTTAATGTTCCCTTGTAACTCTCCCCAAATAACTTAAAAAATTTAAAGTGAAAAATGATCCCAGGCAAATAAAGTTTTTAAACAGGACCAATTTTAGTTTAAAGCATTTAGAGGTAGGTTTATAGCTTTCAACAAACCATAAAGAGAAGTTTTAATCTGTAAGTATCCCATCCTGTTTTGTTTTCTCATATGCAGCAGAATTCCTGTGTGCGTGAAGCCCTGTGAATAATCCACTCTCCTGCCCACCTCAATATATTGTTATTCTAATACTTTGTATATTTTCTGCCATCCCACCATTAAGTCTAGTTTTCTGACTTTTTCAACCACACCCCTTAGGAGTGGAAAATTACATACAATAGAGTATGGGTTATACTGCTGGTTTCCCTAATCAAGAATCTCACTAACAAATCAGAGTCTTTAAAAAGAGTCTAACTCATAAATTTGGTTCACTGTAAAAAGAATTACCTATCTTTTTAAAATATAAGATGAATTTTAACTGGAAGGGTGGCTAAGTGGAATGGAAGAAAACTTAAAAGCAGAACAGAAATGGTTTCATCATGTACATACCAGCACTCTCCACATTATATGATAATGGTGTGACATATAGATGTCGGTCACAGGTCTTACAGGTGCAATTCCAACCAGAGAGGAGTAGTTGAAAACCAAGAGATAGACAAAGAGGTAAGAAGCTCCTTCACTCAATGCAGGAGGTCTAGGCTGTCGTTTATTTACTAAGGCACCAGCCCCCTAGCACACAGCATTAGGACCCTCGCCATTACTGCCTTGTCGACCTTCGACTGCTCATTGATAATTTGAGCATGAAGTGTTACCTGCATTGCTGCACACACCTTGCAGCTTTAAAGGCAAAGTGACCCCTTTCCCATGCCAGTGCTCTAAAACATATTGGAATGTGTTTATTTCCAACAGTTTGATAAGTTCGTGATGTGATAAAAATTCTAAATCCCCTAATGAATACGGCAGTTGCCAAAACCAGAATATTATCCTTCTAAATACACTGTCACAATTGATGGTGTGTTTCTAGAAGGGAAACTGAATTTGCTCTTGCGTTTTATTTGGACAGCTTGCCACAGAGACATTTATGAAGGACTTGATCTGAGAGGAGTCAACGTTAATGTATCCAAGGTTGAAAGTGTTGAAGAATGCCAAAGGAGGTGCACCAATAACATTCACTGCAAATTTTTCACCTATGCCACGCAAGCGTTTCACAGTGCAGAGCACCGGTGAGTGACAGTCACAGTGTTTGTTCTTTACCACAGTGATTCTATGATTTAGTTGCATTCTTCTTAACCTCTTTTATTTTCCAACTGGAAAATAAACAGGGCTTTTAGACCTAAGCACTCTCCTTGTATACTTAATTTTGGTGTCATTTTTTCCTGAAGAGAGTAATTTCCATTTGGTTCGCAGACAGCTGTGCTTGTGGAATGAGGGTTTAGTAGAAAAATGTCTTCTAGGGTAAGGTCTTGCCCCCCATTCTCGCCTTAACCCTCCCTCTGCAGAAGAGGGGGGTGCCTGTTTCATTATCAGTCATTGTTTAGATTGTTTATTTTTCATGGGCCATGGGTCATTTCAGCACAAAGTGGCTGGCTGCATGCACCTCGCAGGTTAGGAAGCAAAGTTAACCTCCTCTCTTCGCCTGCAGGAACAACTGCCTATTGAAGTACAGTCCGACGGGCACGCCGACCAGTATAAAGGTGCTGAAAAACATGGCATCTGGATTCTCCCTGAAGGCCTGTGCCCTCTCAGAAATTGGTAATTCCATGGCTACTATTTCACTATGTAATTGCAGTAGGCAGAGTAAGAGCTCTCCAAATATATTCACATCCTAATCCCTGCAGCCTGTGATTATGGCACCTGATACGGCAAAAGGGGCTTTGTAGATGTGACTAAGTTCACGAGTTTGACATGGGAGATTATTCTGGATGGTGCGGATGGGCCCAATGAAGTCACAGGGTTCTTACAAGAGAAAGAGGGAGGCAGAAGGAGCAGTCAGAAAGAGAGAGAGAGATTTGAAGATGTGGCACTGTGGGCTTCAAAGACGGAGGGAGGGCCCATGAGCCAAGGAATACAGGTGGCTCTAGAAGGAAAAGGCAAGGAGATGGGCTCTTCTATGGAATTCCCCAAAGGAACAAAGTCCTAACAACATCCTGGTTTTAGCTCAGTAAGACCCACTTCACACGTCTCCCCTCCGGAGNAGGAGATGGGCTCTTCTATGGAATTCCCCAAAGGAACAAAGTCCTAACAACATCCTGGTTTTAGCTCAGTAAGACCCACTTCACACGTCTACCCTCCGGAGAGATAACAGATGTGTGTTGTTTAAACCACTAAGGTGATGGTTACAGCAGCAGTGGAAGACTGGAGCAAGCGACACTACAGAGAGCGCTAGAGGGTCATTCACCGGTGGCTTCTATTATATAGTTAAATGGCTCTAGCGTAATGAATCAATGAAGCCCTGTAGTTTCAGACATAGAAGTGATTATTCACAAAGTTGTGGTGACATTGTTCCACCTTCTTTAGCGTATCAGAGTGTTAATGGTAAGCTGTTATCGAACCCAAATCACTGAGAGCCAGTTCTACAAGGTATCAGGTGCCAACTCTGTGCCAAGCCCTGCAGTGGGTGCTGGGCCAGGAGCCCTCCATGGAGATTGGGCAGTTAGCAACCAAGCGTCTCTTACTTGTTTCTTCTCTCCCCCAGCACCCCCTCCCTGATGTGTGCCAGATTTACTGGTGCAAATTGTACTGATTACGAAATTTTAATATTTATGCCTTTTTTTCTGTTCCTTCAATTGTAGTATTTTAATATGGTATATATTTCTTCATAGCTTTTAAAATTTGATATATAACTTACACCATATAAAATTAACCCTTTTAAGATATACAATTCAGCGGTTTTTGGTATATTCACAAAATTGTGTGATGGTGACCACTGTGCAGATCCAGAGCATTCTCACCATCCCAGAGAGACACTGTGTCCAGGAGCAATCATTTTCCACTAAGAGTGTGACTGAAAAGCTGTATTCAGCTCTGCACTCCACATTTTGCGTGGAGCACTTCAAAAGAGGGTAACCAGGATGGTAAAATATCTAGAAGGAATGGAAAATCTAAAACAATTAAAGGAGTAAGCTGAAGATATCGAACCTGAAAAAGGATCAGGATGACTGTCTTAATTTTTTGTTCGACCTGCCATTGGCAAAGGGATTAGGCTAATTTGTGTGGTTCCCTACAGATCTAGGTAGATACTACCGTGGAGAAAATAAGAAAAGTTTCTAACACCAAGAGTGGTCCAGAAAGAAATGGGCCTTGTCATTAGGTTGTGAGCTCCTTGTCCATGTAAATGTCTAGGTAAGACCTGAAGGACTTGTCAGGGGTATCTTTGAAAGGATATGGTTTTAAGTTGACATAGATGACCCAAAGTTCTCTTCCAGCATCAAGAGTCTATATTATTTTAAAAATAGTTGAGGTCTAATTTACCAGCTGCCCCTATGAAGATATTATGTTATGGGAGGTGCTGTCTTCTGATCTAACTATGTTCATTTAAATTAAGTTTTTATTTGTCTTTCCCATAATTGCTATCTTCGTTATTTAAACTTCTATAATTTTAATAGAATTTTATGTTATTAAATTGAGCAAACTGAGTACAATAATATAAACACAATGTAATTAAAAATATGATTAAATAAGAATAATGACAGTGGATTTTCTTCTGTTCTAATTTCATTGGGCACATGGCATTTTCGTTAGCTAACTAATATTTTTCTTAATCTCTTTTTATTAAATTCTTTTTCATAATATTCAGGAAAATATAATGCAAAACCTCATGTTCCTAAGGCCTGGGATTCAGGGTCAAGGTGATATAAAGAAAATTAATCCATGCTGAGTAACCTGCATATTTTGCATTGGCTAGAATGGAGCTAGGAGCATAGGTTGAGCTATTTTATTTCTCTGACATAGGAATCTGTCTTTTATGAGAGTTGGACCAATTTTCCCTTCTTCCAAATGGCAAACAAGATTGGAGCTATATTGATATTTTTTCATTTAGGTTGTTTAGTGCTATGACCAGTCCTAATTTCCTTAGTCGTGATGACCAAGTATGTGTACATTTAGCATTGCATCGTTTACTGAGCAGCATCTTCCCTCTGTGAGTTCACAGGTTGCCACATGAACATGTTCCAACACACGGCATTTTCGGATGTGGATGTTGCCAGAGTCATCACTCCAGATGCTTTTGTATGTCGAACCATTTGCACCTATCACCCCAACTGTCTCTTCTTTACTTTCCATACAAACGCCTGGGATATAGAATCAGAGAGGTGAGCTGCAATGTGTAGCGTCTGCTGCTGTCCTATCATCACTTTAATTTTATAGTTTGAGTTTTTAAAAAGCTTGGTTCCTTTCCCTCAAAATGCTGAATACCCACCATTTAAGTAGGTACTTTTCTGCCAGCTGCAGATTAGTTAAGAGATTAGCAGATTTCTGTACCCACCTTCTTTTACTTAGACATACCATTGAGTCCAGGGAACAGCAGCCATGGAAAAAGAAGGACAGGGTCCCTTTCTTACTCACCTTCATGTTTTGTATCAGGTTGAAGTAAAAACCACTCACCGGCAGCATATCCTCTAAGCTCCTCTGTTCTAATTCCTCTGTTTCAGAAACTGGGGCCCTGTTTACCCTGACCAAGGCCCTGGTTTGAGCTGTTTACCCTCTGAAAACCCACCCTTTTCTTTATAATACAACCTGGAGCTAAGAGAAGACTATCTATTCCTGGCCAGCATGACTCAGTTGGCTGGGCATCTTCTGTGCACCTAGAGGTTGCTGGTTCACTTCCCAGTCGGGGCACACGTCTGGGTTGTGGCCTTGACCTGGGTCGGGGGCGTGCAGGAGGCAGCAGATCCATATATATCTCGTCTTCTCCCTTCCTCTTGCTCTAAAAATCAATAAAAACATTTTTTAAAAACAGAGGAGAGAATTCGTTCTGTGTTTTCTCTCTCTTTTTTTTAATCAGAAGGTGGAACTTACCATTCTCCCCTTTTCAGTTATCTGTGTCAATCAGTTTTTTTTAAAGGGAGATGTGGCTTTATTTACATTTAATCGCTGTAATTTATTGGAGTCCTGTGGCCTGAATTAGTTTGAAGAGGACTTCTCAGAAGAATAAAATGTGCAGGGGTACTTTTTTAAAAATAAATAAATAAATAAATATATGTGTATATATATATAAAATGGGTGCTATTTATTTGCTTTTAATGCTATTTTTTTTCTCTGCTTTTTAAAAATAGAAATGTTTGTTTACTGAAGACTTCCAAAAGCGGGACACCAAGTTCTACCACCCCCCAGGAAAACACCTTGTCTGGATATAGCCTGTTAACCTGCAAACGAACTTTGCCTGGTAATGTGATCCAATCCCAATACATCAAATGTGACCAATGTGATAATCTTTTGACAAGTAATAGTGGTGAAACAATCCTCAACGTACCAGAAACTTATATAAATGTGGTTTATCGCCGTTTTCATTTTGTATCTTCCTATGTTTGTAATTGTCACAGAGCCCTGCCATTCAAAAACTTACGCGGGAGTTGACTTTGGAGGGGAAGAACTGAAGGTGACCTTGGCTAAAGGAGTGAGCGGTTGCCAGGAGACCTGCACGAAGATCATCCGCTGTCAGTTTTTCACATATTCCTTACTCCCGGAGGACTGTCAAGGAGACCAGTTAGTGAGAGTTTAGTTTTCAAAGACAGTTGGCGACACAGTTTCATGGAACTGCCCCGTCGGTGGAGGTTTAATCTTTGTCCTGATCGCTTTCTGTAGGTGTAAGTGTTCCTTACGGCTATCCTTGGATGGTTCCCCCACGAGCATTACATACAGGACGCGAGCGAGCTCTGGCTATTCTTTGAGGTTGTGCAGAAGGGGGGATATCTCTGGTGAGTAAACCTCACTTTTCCGTTGAACTAACTGTGAAGGGCTGTCCGCATTGTCTTCATAGCTTGCAAAGTCTTGATGGGATGGAATTCTGTATCTTGTCTTTCTTGGCTGAGGAGGACTCCGATTCACCCTTAATTCCAGCCCTTAACTTCAGCGCTCCCTTTTTAGTGTGCGGGAAGAAATCAAATGCACGCATTGTTGGAGGAACCAATTCTTCTTGGGGAGAGTGGCCCTGGCAGGTCACCCTTCAAGTGAAGTTGACAGGACAGAGCCACGTGTGTGGAGGCTCTATCATTGGCAACCGCTGGATCCTCACTGCTGCCCATTGCTTTGATGGGTAAGTTTTGGCTGCGTCTTATCCAGGGTCCTGTCTTGTTTTTTCATTTTGAAGAGTCTATAATCGATTTCTCAATCACCGTGTCAGTTTCTTAATGGAAGGTATTCTTATTTAATAAAAAAATATTTGAGCCCTGGCCAGGTTGCTCATTGGTTAGAGCATCATTCCCTGCAAAAAAAGTTGCAGGTTTGATTCCTGGTCAAAGCACATACCTAGGTTGTGGGTGTGATCCCCAGTTGGGGCACTTATAGGAAGCAACTGATTGATGTTTCTCTCCTCTCTCTTTAAAAATCAATAAAAACATATCCTCAGGAGAGGATTTTATATATATATACACATATACATATATATGTATATATATAAAAGCAGAGATGGTATTCCAAATGTTGAACAACTGGTAGGACCTGAGCACTGACCAGTCTAACCAAAGTGAGGTGTGTTTGCAGAAATATACTTCAAGGAGTAACTTAAAAAATGTCCCCCTGCTTCTTTAAAGACTGATTTTCCAGGCCCATAGATTCACAAATGTACTTAGTAATATTAACAGTAAATAGGAAAACAAAAATGCAATAGTTTATTACCCTGTATATTTCAAGGACTATAATCTGATATAATATTTTCACTTTATTAGGCAAACGGTGTACTTGACAGGATTTTAAAGTTTTCAAACACTTAGACTTTGTAGTTAGAATGAGGCTTGAGTCCCAGCTCTGCCACTTATAGGAGGTATGACTGATCTTGGGCAATTTGTAACTCTCTCTTATTTTTATTTTCTACCTGTAAAATATAAATGACAACAGTATCTAATTCATAAGGTTCCTGGAAGGATTAAGGGACACTTTTAAAATACTTAGTACTTTACCTGGAACATAAAGTTCCTCAAAAATATAAGCTATAATTAAATAAATGTAAAAATGGACCAAGCATATGAATGAGAAAAAGAGATACTAATAGCCCTAAAATAAAAGAAACTTGATCTCTTTCAAAAAGTATTTTTGTTTTCATAGAATCCCCTCCCCCACCCCATCTAAAAGTTACTGTGGACCAGGGTTCAGGATACTGCTGCTGAAATATAAGAGTCAGAGGCAGAGCTGGAGAGAGACAGGCTCCTCCAGAGTGGCCACATGGCGTCACGAGTCCCCAGGCACGGCTCTGCTGCCTGTGGCGTTGCTAAGGGAGAGACCGTTGGCCTGGAAGGGAAATAGTTCCCTTTTTCACTAAATAAACCCAATTTGGGACCAAGAACTTTCATCTTCTTTTCCCAGCTTTATTGAGATATAACTGACGTGTAACATTGTATAAATTTAAGGTGTACAATATCATGATTGGATATATGCATCGGCTGTAAAATGATGACCGCAGAAAGGTTAGTTAATACATCCATCCTCTCACATAGTTATAATTTTATGCGTGTGGGGTGAGAACTTTTAAGATTTACTCTCTTAGCAACTTGCAAGTGTATAATACCATATTGTTAACCAATACGTCCCCAGAATTTATGCATCCTATACTGAAAGTTTGTACCCTTTGGCCTACCCCCCCCCACCTGCACCCCTCAGGCAACCACCAATCTGCTGTTTCTCTGAGTTTGGGTTTTTTAAATTCCACATATAAGTGAGATCATACAGTATTTGTTTTCTCTATCTGATTTATTTCACTTAGCGTGATGCCCTCAAGCTTCATCCATGTTGTTGCAAATGACAGGATTTCCTTCTTTTTATGGCTGAATAATATTTTGTTATATAGGCCACATTTTCTTTATACGCACATCTGTTGATGGACACTGCGGTTGTTTCCATGTCTTGGAGGCTATAAATAATGCTGAAACAAACACAGGGGTGCAGATATCTCTTTGAGATGGTGATTTTGTTTCCTTCGAACAGATACCCAGAAACAGGATTGCTGGGTCATATGGTTCTATTTTTAATTTTTTTGAGGAAACTCTGTACTGTTTTTCATAGTAGCTGCACTAGTTTACATGAAGAATTTTCATTCTTGACGGCTCAGTGTTGTGTTTCTCAGAGCTAGAGTTTCACGCATGTCTTGCCCTACTCACTTGATAATAAAAATTTCCACGTCTTTACACAAAATAACACTGCTTTAAATAACAATTTTAGGTTTACTTTGTATATGTTTATATTTAAAGAGTTAATTTATTTTTTTATACTTCCCAAAATATAGATAGGTTTTTATTTTTTTAATCCAATTTATTGGGGTGACATTAGTTAATGAAATGATATAGGTTTCAGGTGTACAATCCTACAATACCTCATCTGTATATTGTATTGTGTGTTACCACCCTAAGTCAGGTCTCCTTCCACCACCATTTATTCCCCCATACCCTCTTCTACCTCCCCCCAGCCCCCCTTCCCTCTGGCAATCACCACACTGTTGTCTGTGTCCAAGAGTCTTTCTTTCTTTCCTTTGCTTAATCCCTTCACCCTTCTCATCCAGCCCCCAGCCCCCTCTCCTCTGACAGCTGTCAGCCTGTTCTCTGTATCCATGAGTCTCTCTCCACTTTGTTAGTCCATTCTGTTCATTAGATTCCACATATGGGTGAAATCATGTGGTACTTGTCTTTCTCTGACTGGCTTATTTCACTTAGCGCAATACTCTCCAGATCTATAGATAGATAAAATTTAAATGGCCCTGAAGTTCCCTCTCATTTGCCCTTTTAGAGGGGCTGGTGTAAAATCAGTCTGACTTCACAACAGCTCTGAATTTCAGGAGAGCAGCTGCTTTCAGGATTGCCGAGCCGAGAATGATTTTCCCATGATTCTCCCAGTTTCTCCCAAAGTGGGACAGCAACACCGTTGTACTTTTACTTACAGGAAACAATGAAATCATTACACAAATGTGTACTTTCAGTGTTATTAACTAAATATTCAGAGATTCAGGACTGCTGCTGTAGGTGAAGATAAATTGCCAGGAGGAGAGATTAAGTAAAATATGTCACATATAGTATTCCCTTCCCAGGTTTTTGTTTTGTTTTGTTTTTGTTAAAGGTCAAGAGAAAGGAAAAAGGACCAGTATCCAACCCCAGCTTTTCTGGTTTCAAATAGATCTTTATTTTCTCCCCCAGGCTCTCCTTTTCAGATATGTGGCGCGTATATGGTGGCATTTTAAATTTGTCAGAGATAACAAAAGAAACACCTTTCTCACGAGTAAAAGAGATTATTATCCACCAAAATTATAATATCTCAGAAAACAGTAATGACATTGCCTTGATAAAGCTTGAGGCTCCTTTGAATTATACGGGTACGTAGCACGTCTAAGGAGAAGCTGTCCAGCTGAGTGACACTGGTCTGAGTTTTCGCGTCAGTTTGAATGAGAGGGCGGAATCTACGGAGGCTGTCTTCATTTTCGGGTTGGTGGAGCTGGGGGAAAGGTGAGGGTTGCCAGGGAAGATAAGACCTGGGGCTTGACATGAGAATCTCCTCTACATGGGAGCAAGACCTGCTCATTAGTTCCTTCAGGTAGGAATACAACCATGTATGCATTATTGAAATAATGGGCATAGAAGTGTCTTTGTCATCTGGGGAGCATGGTTTCCTTTGACAAGTGGAGCAGAATCATCATTGTTTTGGGCTGAGGCATATTAAGACCATAGGAGGGCAAGTGGGACCAGATATTAACCTCCAGGCATAATTTGAGCAGAAGAGAGACTGAAGCAGAAGGAAGACTTACTGCCTTTCAGGTACAACGCCCCACCCACAGTTGCTGGATGCCCACTGCGTCCTTTAACAGTTCTGTGACTCTGGGCAAGTTGCTTTTATTTCTTAGCACCTCAAATTTTCTCATCTATAAAATGGGCATGATAATTACCCCATTGGGCCGTTATAATAATTAAGTCAGTTCATAAGTTAAAGCACTTAAAATGGTGCTGAAACAGTGTTAGACACTCTATTACCATTAAAATATTATACACAGATTAAGAGACAGAACTTCTAAATGCTTTTGACTGTAAATTTGGGGTCTGAGTTTTTAAATTTAATCCAGAAAATTTAACATCGAAAATGTCATGTGAAAATGACTCTGATGGTGAGAAATGTTCTTGAATCATTGACCTTAGAAACTGAGCAGGAAGCAAAGGGGCTAATCTTCTTGGTGCTACTTTGCAGTAAGAGAGCATGGAAATAGGAAAGTGTATATTTTAAAGTCGGTATCTGTAACTTTAACCAAACTCTAACTTAAAAATTACCTTTCAGAATTCCAAAAACCAATATGCCTTCCTTCCAAAGATGATACAAATATAATTTACACCAACTGCTGGATAACTGGATGGGGCTTCACAAAGGAAAGAGGTACAGTATAAAGTGGTAAATGTTGATTCTAAAACAAGTCTTATATGTTAAAGCACATGGTGTGGGTCAGTTCTGTCGGCCTCTAAATTTATATATAAACTCACAAGCTTTCTAATCTATTGATTCTCAAATATTTGTTCAGTGGTCCTTGAGAAGATGTATTTTTGCCTTGACATGGGAGAATTAATAAGGTAAACTTTTGAGCATCTTACTCTATATAATAAAAATCATTTGTTTGACTTCACATCACATATTGGTCCCACAGAGGCTAACAAACCCTCTCAAGCCCTCCCTGTCCTCAGTATTAATAATGTTCTCATCTCCCAAGGACACTGTTTTCCCTTGATATTAATGACCAGGAATACAGGCAGGCATACCATCTCTCTGAATGGCAGGCTTTTAATCTATTTTTTTATGCATCTCTCCTGCAATCTGATGAAGCCTGTGAACCACTTCTTGAACGATGTTTTTAAATGCTTAAATAAAAACACATAGAATTACAAAAGCAACCAATGCAATTGCAAGGCAGTTATCAAAAATACTTTTTAAAAGATATGACATGGTAACACATGTGCTTCTTTATTAATATATAAATAGCAAGTTGTTCTGATAACCACCATAACCTTGAAATTGTGATGAGCACAAATGCTCATTTCAGTTATCTGCCACCACTGTAACGCGATAGGAACACACCTGCGATTTATAGTGATGGAAAAGTCCTAGGCACGGCTCATACTCCCGAGATTGTCACCTACATTCATAACTGAAGGGAGTATCAGACTTGAGTTGGAGGTTGGTGAAAATAAGGGTGTATTATTTTCCTACCCAAGATTTAAAAGTAACTTTAACTGGTGGAAATTATTTGTAAATAAACTGTTCTCCATGGAAGATGCTCACTTGCATTTACTTGAAGAACAAAATACTCCTCTATTGCCAGAGATTTGTGTTTGTTTATTTAAAAAAATCATATGATTAAAAATTACCATTTTTAATATATAAAACAAAAACTATAAGGTAAGACCTTTCAGTCTTTTGGATTGTAGGCAACAAAAGGGAATTTCTAAGAAACATCTATTGAGATGAGAGAAGGGCAGAGAACATGGGAGCAAAGTCTTAGGTCAGACTGAGGTCTGGGGTTGTCCTAATACAGCATCCAAGGCCAATATAGGGAACAACCCTGCCACCCTTCTCTTTCTGTGTGTGGTTGTGTGTGTGTAACTCTCCATTCTCACTTTTACTCTTTATACCTGAAGGAATGGCCTTAATGCAAATTTCATCATTCTGATTGATTTGCCTTAAGGCTTCAGTCTTGTTTTCATATTTATTGTAGTTGCTCCTTGTGAAGTTATATATTGGTTACTTCATAGGCGAAGTCCAAAATATCCTACAAAAGACAAATATTCCCTTGGTAACAAATGAAGAATGCCAGAAAAGATATAGAGATTATAAAATAACCAAACAGATGATCTGTGCTGGCTACAAAGAAGGGGGAAAAGATGCTTGTAAGGTAAGACTTTCGGCTGTAAAAAAACATGCAATAGGCTACTTGAGAATATTCATTTCAAAATATATTTTCTAATAACATATTTCATTATAATGTTTTAAAAAATATGTTTTCATTGATTTCAGAGAGAGGAAGGGAGGGAGAGAGAGAGTTAGAAACATCAATGATGAGAGTCATTGATTGGCTGCTCCCTGCACGCCCCTTATTGGGGATCAAGCCTGAAACTGGGGCTTATGCCCTGACTGGGCACCGAACTGTGACCTCCTGGTTCACAGGTTATGTTCAACCACTGAGCCACACCGGCTGGGCCATGATGGTTTTAAAAAAAAATCTGAGCCAAGTGATCTGATAATTTCATACATAACCTCTTAAAAGTTTGAATATATATATATATGTATATATATGTATATATATATAATTTATATAACATGTCACAATCTGTGCAGGAACATGCTATATTTAAGGGAGGACCATTGCACATATAATAATTATACTAAAACGTAAGAACATTAGGCTTATCTGACAGTGGAACGATGATGTCAACATGTATTTGTTGGGCACTCCCTTATTGAATTAAATAATTTTCACCGCATTCTGCAGCTGATGAGGCATGTGATTTTGGATGTGTGTGGCGTGACTACAGAAATTTAAAGGCACATCTGTCATAACCCCCTCTCCTTTCCTTTTCCTACCCACTGTGGCGCAGGGAGATTCAGGCGGTCCTTTAGTTTGCAAACACGACGGAACGTGGCTTTTGGTGGGGATCACCAGCTGGGGCGAAGGCTGTGGCCGCAGGGAACACCCGGGCGTCTACACCAAAGTTGCTGAGTACGTGGACTGGATTTTGGACAAAGCGGGGAGGGCGGCGGGCAGCCCGCGGTGAGGCCCGGTGAGCGAGCCCGCGGCGGTGGGAGGCCCAGGTCCCAGCGCAGCGCCTGCACCGTGGCTGTGGCTGAGCCCTGCGCCTCGGGCTCTTACCTGCAGAGGCGCGGGAGTGGCATCTCCCGAGTCCCCATCGGGGATCACCAGAGACAAAGCGCACGGAGTAGCCGAGGGCCGCGGGCCCCGGCTTCCGAGGCTGCTTTCGGTTCCTGCTGATGAAGGGAGCTGGGGACCCAACATCTCCACGGCCGCTCGCTGTGAAATAAAATGGGGAAAGGCTGTGATTAACGAGTGACTTGTTTTTATTGTGAAACACAACTGAAGAAAGCGGAGTCCAGGTTCCAACCCAGCGCCCGAGGCCTTTCTAGTCTTCGAGCTGGTCTGGGCCTCAGTGGGCCTCGGGAGGACTCTGTGCGTCACCACAAGGCCACCAAGCCCACCACTGCCCTCCTTGCTGCGGGAGGAGAGCCAGGGAGCTTGGGGCCTTTTGCCGAGGGGAGGGAAGAAGCCTGTGTGATGTTCATTTTTCTAAGAAAGAGATGAGCTGCCTGAACGTGGGAGGGTGCGGCATCTTTTCTCTTTGACCTCCTACTTTGGTTACCATGGTGTGGCCGCAAGGCTGGCTGCAGGCTGGCCATGCAGCGGTGGCCTGAGGGCTGCAGGCGTCTGACTGCAGCTCCTGCAACAGGCTCAGGGNCGGGGCTGCAGGCATCTGACTGCAGCTCCTGCAACAGGCTCAGGGCGCGGCCTTCGTGGCGGGCGGGGAATCTACTTGGCTGCGGGTCAGTGGGCGCTGGCATCTGTACTAGTAATTCAGGAAGCATGATTAGGTATAAGAATCCTCACAGAGTTCAGCCTGGCACATTCACGGCAGGAACAAGTAGCCCTGGAATGAATGACAAATCTCAATGTAATGTGACACACATTCCTGCCCTGCCCGTCACAACCGGCACCTGGCGGCTGGGCTCGGCTCAGTTAAGTTGATGTAACGTTGACACAGAAGTGGCCATTTACCAAATATGTAGAAAAAGAGAAAAGTTTCTAGAAGAGGCGGAGGTTTTCCTTCTGTCCTCAAAGACTCTCAGTGGTAGGAAGGCTAACGGTGGAGGCCCCCCCCCCCGAGGCCTGGGTCCTTCACAAACCCTACAATAGGAAACTGAAGAGTGACATTTCCTCCAGTAAAGTCTCCAGATTTCATCACATCTGGCGGATTCCACGAAATGATTAAAAATAAACACACCCTCATCTTTTACCGTGGCATGTAATAAAGATATTGGTCTTTGTTCTGCGTGGATGTTGTTTTTCGTTTAAACAGAAGAAAATGGTTTGCAGTGAAGCCCTTTATCTGCGGCCTGTCGGTATCGCTCATTGTACAGGGCGTTTGGACAGTGCCTGTGGTAACCGCTGGGCTTTTGTGGGTCAGAGCATGAGCTTGTTTGGGCAGAACTGAGAAGAGAGTTTTGAAATGTGGACCTCCCCTGGGGTATGAACGATCATTTTAAAGTTGCCAGCCCAAGTCAGAGGTACTGGACCGGCCTTGGCACGGCTCGCAGCGCCTTCATGTACAGGGGTGACCAGAGGACCCGTAGCACAGAGGGAGCCTTTGGCACTGAGAAGTGGGTAGGAGGCCAGGGAGGGGAGAGACCGCAGTGGCTTCACCCTCAGGAGGAAGGCGGAGAGCACGCAGGAGGAACGGGCCTCGGACAGTGCCACCAGCAGCGAGTGGGTAACAGACACTCATGTACACATGTGATAGGTTAGCCACGCACTCCCACCTCTCTCTCCTTTCTTGCCAAGGTGTGGGAGACCTCTGATTTCAACTTAAGGCTTTTAATTATTGTTTATCTCCTCACTGAACTGGGAAGCACTTTGAAGGGGGTCCTGTTTCACACTGAATCCTAATGGGCACTGAATAAATGTCTGCTGAGTGAATACATCTTTATTCTAAAGATGAGGCAATGGAGGCTTGAGGGAATAAAAATATTAGCTCAAGGTCATGGCAAGTACAGAACCAGGATGAAAGTCGGCATTCGTATCCTAGATGACGACCCGTATGGCGTATCCTCAAACCACGAGAAGGGGAAAGGTGGCGGGGTCATTTATTATTTCCCTTATTGTCTAAGGCAGTGGTTCTCAACCAGAGAGTTTTGCCCCCAACCCCCCTCCCCGCCAGGGACATTTGGTAATGTCTACAGCCAGTTTTGGCTGGCACACCTGGGTGAGCATCTACTGTAAAGGCCAGGGTTGTTGCTAAACATCCTATGAGGCACTAACAGTGTCTCACAACAAAGAATCATCTGGCCCCAACGCCAGCAATGCCATGTTGAGACACCCTGCCCTAAGGCCAGGATTAAAACCTTGTGACCAAAAGGGGCTATTTCAGGAGCAGCAAGATAGGGGTTGTAGGACATGGGTGGCTGTGCCCTTGTTCAAAGCAAGTCTTGATGAGAGAGGAGCTGCGAGAGAAAGCTGGCTGTGCTGGGACAGAGGGGGCCTCTGGCAGCGGCAGGTCTGTGTGGTGTTCCCTGTCGCAGACAGAGGACTTGAAGTCACCAATGACCCTGAATTCTGACTTGCACTTGGGTCCCTATAGACTAAATTCTGGATTCTTTCTGAGATTTTGCCTAACAATTCCCCATTTTCATTGCAGGAGGAGGGGCGGCTTTATCTTTAGATAGAAGTAATCAATACGAGGATTCTAAGCTGTAATGGCATTAGTTGGAAAAAGTTTTTAGAATACTTACTGTCAGTTTGAAAGGAAGGATTATTTAATCTCAAAGACTTTCTATGCAATTAAGACTCTTATTCCACTTTTATTTGAATAGAGAAAAATATTTTTGGAACCCTTATATTATTTCAATGGATTTAGAGATTTCACTAAGTAGCTAAACCAAATTTAGGAAAATATGATTCGATTTCCCAGTGAGGTATTTCTCTCATTCAAGTCTTTCTGCTTCTCTCAATAGAGTTGGAGAGTTATCATTATAGTCTTTTTTATTGGGGCTTTAGGCTAGAGATGGGGTTTCATGGTTAAACAATACAGGAATATAAGGATCTTATATAATTTCACATATCAGTTTTCCACGAAACCCTGTCTTGGCATAAATATGCCATTCCGCGTTGAGCTTGGTAAAAAGCAGAACATCACAAATATGTGATTTTTCTGTGGCTGGAATGTATCTAATTTTAAATTGGAAACTCAAGGAAGCAACTAAGGATTCTTTATGCTCAGATAGGCCATAAAACCTTAGCAACAGATCAAATAAAAATATTTGAATAACTGCCTGCCAGATAGAATGTCTCAATAATTCCTTGGCATTTTACATAAAGACCTCTTCCAAGTTCAAATTTTCCTTAACTTTCTGTTCTATAAAACATAATGCCAGCTTCTCTCTTCTCAAAAGTCTCAGATGAGTTTATATGGGAGCTAATCTACAAATTTACCTTTATTAACTATTCTCTCACTATCACCTTCCATGAGTTCTCTCTTTCCCCCATATTTCCCTTTGTGTAAGAGTTCTGAAAAAGTTGTCCAGTGGTCCTTATCTTAGGTCATTTTTCTCTCATTAAACTTTGTTTTAATGGGTCTCAAAATTCTGTGACAGATGTTTGGTCAAGTTGTTTCCATTAAAAAGTACTGATTTAAAAAACTAATAACAACTGCCACACACACACACAAAAAACCCCACAGGCAAATGACCCACAAAACATTCTCCTTTCCTTCTATAGGTTAAACTTACATGGTCAATTAAGAAAAACAGTTCTGGGCCTGTTCTTCCACCACTGGTCAGGACTGGGGTGGAGATGATAATATTCATTTGACAGTCCAGCACAGGTGCATGGCCAGCCCTGACTTGGCCTGGGTGGCTCAGGATAATCACCGGAGCTTGCAGCCAGCGGTTTCCACTGGTGGGTCATTTTTGCTGTCACCAGTCACATTGCCACAATGAACATGTCTGACAGACAGGTTCTTGACTTTGAAGCCCACATGGTCCCAGGAAGAGCTTCACTCAAAGCTTCATGGTGCATCTCTCAGACTTGACTTCAGTTGGAAAGTTGACTAGAGCAAAGGTGACCACCATGCTGGGTTTGAGAACACCAGTCTCCAGTTGGCCCACAGGGACAGTACCAACACCGCCAATTCTGTGGTTCATCCTTCAGGGGCTTATCAGTTGGATGAGTTGGCGGCAGGATGCAATCCTGAGCTTTAAGCAGGGTGGGTCGACTGGCATTGCCATCTTTACAGATAACTTTCCCTCCCTTAGACCAAGACATGTTAGCATTTGGCTCTAGCATATTGTCACTGTCCCAACCAGAAAGTGGCACAAATGCTACTGTGCCAGGGTTGTAGTCAATTTTCTTAATGTCGGTGCTGACTTCTTTAACAATTTCTTTGTATCTTTTCTGGCTGTAAGGTGGCTCAGTGGAATTCATTTTGTTAACACCAGCAATCAGTTGTTTCACACCCCGTGTGTAAGCCAACAGGGCACGCTCACAGGTGTGACCGTTCTTGGAGACACACACTTCAAATTCAGCAACACCGGCAGCAACAATCAGAACAGCACAATCAACATGAGACTTGCCTGTAAGCATGTTTTTGATAATGTCTCTGTGTCTTGGGGCATCAATGATGGTCACATAATACTTGCTGGTCTCAAATTTCCACAGGGAGATGTCAATGATGATATCATGCTCACGTTCAGCTTTCAGTTTCCCCAAGACCCAGGCATACTTGAAGGAGGCCTTCCTCACCCCAGCAGCCTCCTTCTCAAAATTTCCATTGGTTCTCCTGTCAGTTGCACCACATTTGTAGATCAGGTGGCCAGTAGTGGTAGACTTGCCCGAACTTACATGTCCAACGATGTTGGTATGAGCCTTTCCCTTCCTATTTTGGCTTTGATTTAGTGGTGGTTGTCACAACACCTGTGTTCTGGCAGCAAACCTGTTGTGTAAAGCTTGGGTCACCTTCCTACGTAAGCATTTGGCCAGCAGGAACTGGGTATGGCACACCTTCAGAAACCGTTCAGATAATGACAATACTATCATGGTCGAGATAAAATGAGATCTCGAACGGGGGCAAACTTGTAATTTTATTTCTCCCCTCATCTTCAGAATATTTTTTAAAACTGAGATCTTACTTTGTTTTCCTATGGAAAATTTAAGTCTTCTCCGAACAATAAAAATTTCTTTCTCTAAAATTTAACCAGGTGGTGGGAGGAAAAGAGGAAAAAAGAGGGGGGTGGCATTTGTAATACTCTCAACAGAAGTTAAAAAATAAGATAAATAATAAAAATAAATAAATAAAACTTATTTAAATCAAAAATATTTATAAATTTTTAAATTTTATTTATTTTAGGTTGCCAGGGACCACACAGAAATCCTTAGGGCTAGTTAATATCTAATGTTATAAAGGAGGAACCTGAAGCCCAGAGAGATCAAGCAAGTTGGCTAAGGACCCACAGATTTACAGTGATGGAGGCTGGTTTCCACTCAAGCGACATGATTAGGAAACTGATGAATGGATCCAGCACCAGAGGATAGCATCAGTATGCCATCTACAGGGCTTAAACCCTCTTCAAAGTCAATGGGAAGGCTCTTAACAGAAATGTAATCAGATGAAACCCAGAGAAGTATTTTGCAAGCTTTCCTGTCTATGAACCGCAACAAGGTGACCACTAGGAAGCACCCTCTAGGAAAAAGGGAAATGATCTGTTATTTTTATATTGCCTATTATGCAACAGCTAGACATGCCCTCCCCTAGATCTCCATTTGTGTTTCAGTGAGCCAAAATCCAAAGAAAGGTATGAAAGTCCCATAGTTTGTCGTTTTTTTTAAAAAATTAATTTAGACTTTTAATGTTTGCAAGTGGAATAAAAAAGAGCTTAGCGCCTCAGAACTGAGGGCTTCTGTGTAGGCCTCTGAGGAGGTCACATTACATACAGGGAAGGCGAATCCAGGAGAGCAGGCTCCTCGCCTCAACCCCCAGCAGCTGAAGTTCCATCCACAGACCTCTCGTTTTCTTTTCAGATTGGGAGATTCAAGTCAGCCTTGAATTAATGATTAATAGTTGCTGTTTGAAAGTGTGGTTAAATGGAGCTTTGGCTAGCAGGCATACTAAATGTGAGCTTGCCCAGCTGCTAAGCCACGCAAGGAAATTGAAGAAAAAAACACTTTCATTAAGAATTTCATCAAACAAGGTTTTTTCAGGTATGGTTTCGAAAATTATTATTTATCATTTCTCTCATGCAATTATTCCTTGAAGTGCTTTTTTCTACCACAGGGTTTTAAAATTTGTAATATAAGACGATTGATTTTTAAAATTTGTCTGATTTAACATTTTAGAAATTTTTAGTTAATATTCATAACCAGTTTGAGAGGAGACACAAAATGAAAGGAAAGTAATAGTTAGTAGTCAATAACAAGTATTTTACAAATTAGAAAGATATTCAAGAGCAAATATTAAAAAATCAGAAGTCTTGATTTATCTCCCTAATAGTTGTTCATAGTTCAGGGCTTCATGCGGATAATACCTCTCTAGGTGACCAAGTCAACCCAGTCATCTACTTGCAACAGAATTTTAAAAATAGAAAACATAAGGAGAAAATCATCTACTTTGATAGATACAGAGAGAGAGTTCAAAGGTGGAAAGAAGAAAAATAAATTGGAAGAGAAGATAAAAATTTTAAAAATCAGGGTGAGGAGTCAGGTGATGACAATGAGAACTATCTGGTGAAGGGTGAGCTGGGGGAGGAGAGGAAGGGGGGGCCCTGTCAGCCGGGGTCCTCAGAACTGTGACAGCGCCGAGCACGGCCAGCCTTGGGGTTGATAAGCTTCAGCGTGATGACAGGAACGCTGGGAACGCTGGGGATTAAGCTCCCCTCTCCCTCTGTCTTTCATGTAAACCCCGATGTCGGCAAACTAATTAGAAAGTCACAGTTTATGTTTTAAAACATGCACATTTTTTTTTGTGTAGGATGACTTTATTATACCAGATGGTCCCTTTCATTTTATTTGCCTCAGTTTCTGGTGGTAAGTAGAGGTTTATCATAACTATGGACTGGAAATAACTTGTTTCCTGACTTGAGAATTTACCAAGATTAAAAGCTACAAACTTTCATTCACTGACTAAATAATAATGACCCCAAAACCACAATCCAGAATATCAGATCTCTTTCTAAAAACAGAAAAAAAATTCATTTTATGCAATTTATTTTTGTAAAAAAACCTTATATGTGGTTTTAGCTGAAGGGAATTCAATTATTTTGGAGGGTTTAAGGATCCTGTTACTGAACTGGCCTATTTTAAATAGTGAGGAGATGTATGTTATCACATCCAGGGCCATCAAACGCTAATGATTTCGCTGGAGCTTTTGTTTCAAATAAACATGGGGTTTGGACAGAGAAGCAGCGGGCAAAGGGAAAAGCAGGAGGCCATTCTAGACTTGCATAGGGTGTTAAAGAGCATCTTTTGCTAGTAAAGTCTGAAAAATGATTCAAGTACCCACAATGTACCCACGTCTCCAAGACAGTCACTCATAAGCACAATTCCATGGAGGCAAATGTGCTATTTGGTGACTTTCTTTTCTGTCTGAGGCTGCTCATCCAATAAACTAACATAAAGGTGTTTACTGCCCGATTTCCAAGTTCAGGAAAGTTTATGTTAAGCCAATCTCCTTGGCTTGCCATTGTGAAATTATCTAATTAGACAGGTGCTTTCTAAAGTCCCGTATAACACCTGCCATGCATTGCATCACAGAATGTGTGACTAAGCTGTTCAAAGACACCTGCTTCCAAGGAGGTGGCCTTACAACTGTTTTTACGCCAAGCGCTGAGCACTGCCAAGTCATCTGCACCCATCACCCAAGGTGCTTGCTCTTCACGTTCATGGCTGAATCATGGGCTGTAGATCCTACCAAATGGTACGTGTTTGCATTTCTACCTAGAGAAACTGGATTTTACACGACAGTTACCTACTAATAGAATTCCATCTGCCATCTAATGAAATTTAATGTTAATCAAAAAATATATTTCCCTTCAAATGAAATAGTAAATATTAGAGAAGAAATATGGTGTTCAGGCAGATCAGTGAGGAATAGGCATAATTCTCAGGATGAACTGTCCATCCTCCCTGTGGTCTCGATATTAATGGTATGTTTTCTTATTTCTCTGTACCTTTATGCCTTGTAGTTATTTTCCCCTTTGACTTTCAATTGATTATTGATATTTGATATTATGCAAACGAATACTTTTCCCTCAACAATTTTACTAGAAAAAATTAAATTTTATAAAGGTGATGAAAGAATGTAGTGATCCCCTGTCACCTCCAAGACTTTTTGACATTTGTGTTTTAGTAATCTGTATTGTGCATGTTTAACAATGTGAAATAGTTTGAAAACATTATAACATTTCACCCTTAACTATGTCAACATACATTGTCCTACACAAAAAACATAAAACATTTAAAAGGATCCCTTAATATCATCTGAACTGTCCCCCAAAAGTAATGTATAGCTATTAACCAAAATTTTATAAAGACTCACAAATTGCATTTGGTGGTTTTGTCTCTATAGTCATATATTTTTAAATATGTTTTTATTGATTTCAGAGAGAGGAAGGGAGAGAGAGAGAGAAACATCAGTGATGAGAGAAAGTCATTGATCAGCTGTCTTTGGCATGCCCCCTACTGGGGCATGGGTTGACACTCAACCACTGAACCACGCCAGCCAGGCTATAGTTATATTTTTTACATTTTAGAACATTCCACCCACCGCATTTGTTTCCATGTTGAGCTTGAAAACTTAATAGTAAAGCTTTACTGCCAAATTAAGTTATCAATATTTTTGTGTGTTATTACTGGACTCACAAATATTTACATAGCACCCCGAAGTTACAAAATTTACTGTTCTAGACTCTACAACAGGAGCTGGCAAGGCAGAGAATAAATATTTCAGGCTTTATGGGCCTGGAGGCAAAAATCATAGAATTATATAAGTACTTACATAACCATTTAAAATGCAACCATTAAAATATAGAAAGCATTCTTAGCTCATGGGCTCTACGAAAACAGCAGCCAGCTGCGTTGGGCCTGCCCACGCCCGTTTCCTATTAGGAAGCAGTATTAGGATATGTGATCTTTTGAATGTGGGGATGTTGGGCTGAATAAATCAAACTCGCAGTCCTGCTGAGAAAATATTTGTTTTGGCGTGAGAGAGAGTAGTTTGTTTGCCTTCTCTTTGACTTTCTGTGTAGTGACATTCTTTGACTTTCTGCGTGGTGACATTGCAGTGTGGTGGCTGAAGGGTGAGGGCTGGACATGGAAGAGGGTGTCGGGGGGATAAATGGTGATGGGGGAAATTAAGGGAAAAAAAGGCAAGATGCATTATTTTAAAACACAAATTTCCACCCAGTAATGCTATTTTTTTAAAAAATAGGTTTACTTGCACCCTGAAAGACAGTGTCACGGGAACGCTGCCCAGGGTAAACATGACAGGAGCTGTTTCTGGACACTCTTTCAAGCAATGCTCATGCCACATAAGTGGTAAGACGCCTTATCAGGATTAATAAACACCACCAGTCACGGCCCTGGCCAGGTGGCTCGGTTAGTTAGAGCATGGTTCCTGCACCAGAAGGTTGTGGGTTAGGTTCCCAGTCAGGGCACATGCCTAGGTTTCGGGTTTGACCCCCAGTCAGGGCAGGGATGGGAGGCAGCTGATCAATGTATCTCCTTCACATTGATATTTCTCTCTTCTCTCTTTCTCCCTCTCTCTCCCTTCCCCCCTCTCTAAAATAATGAAAAAAGACACAAAAACACACAGTTTTTTAAATAAATAGATATATATTTACATATATATATACTAGTTATTGTGATATATACATATAGTTGCATCAGGTTTGGTCTTATGGCTATAAAAGAAAACCCTGATGTATGGAAATAGTCTCCTAATGAAGTTCTTTCTTGTAGAGTGAAAATCAGCAAACAGGCATGCATGTCCCTTACCCCCATTATAGTTGACTAAGATTCATCTCATAGACCTATCTCATTACATCAGCGCTCATCATTCATTTTCCCTCCTTCGCAGCTTAAAGTTTTATATAAAGTCCTTATTAAACATGTTAATTCAAATCAAAGGAAGCAAGTGTTGAGATGTCACTTGTCTTAATAGTGACATAGATGCTTGAATAGGTTAATTAGTGAACCAGTCAATCAGTGAGCGAAGGAGACAAGAGAGGCAGGTCAGGAAACTGCAACAAGAATTGACAAGTCTAATATTGTGTCATAGAAGAAGGGCATTGGCTTTCTTTTCCTGTTTCCACATGAGAGTGGGAATTAAGTAGATTAACATAAAAACAAAGGACTTCTGAGGAAGGGGGATGGGTTGAAAGAGTAAGTCGGGAGGGGCAGTTGCTACAAGTAAAACTCTCTGAGCGGCCCCGGAGTCTGAAAGATAACCCTACTTTCTGCCTTTATTTCCAGCTTGCAACACAGAAGTTTATGAGGGCCTAGACATGAAGGGCCTGGACTACAATAGCTCTGTCACCAGGGACGCTGAGGAGTGCCAGGCCAGATGCACCGATGACATGCACTGTCTCTTTTTCACCTACGAGACAGGGCAGTTCCCAAGCCCAGAGCACCGGTGAGTGAGCCTGTGGACAGTAGATCATCCGATGGGAAGCAAACTGGGGATTCTTTAAAATATGTTGCATCAGTTTGATGCCAAAATTTATTTTTATCCAGTAAGAGACATTTCTAGAATAAATATTCATAGTTTTCTTCATGGAAAGTACTACATTTTTAAATTGGCAATTTTGAAACAGTTAAAACTGGCCTATTCCATCCCCAGCCTAAAGGATACTAGAGTCTGACCCTATATTTAAAAAAACAAACAAACAAAAAACCTACTTGTAGTTCCCCAAACAACAGTTTCCTACCTAAGACAAAATAACTGAAGTGCATGTGAAATGTTCCAACCTGCCCCATGCTGGATTTCGAAACATTCCAGGGTTAACTCTATGGTATAAGAATATACAAGATCTGATCGCTAATGATTAATCAGTGTTCTCTTTGTTAAAAATTTAGGAAAAAATATTATAACTTTAATACTTAGAAATACTTCGGGATGCTCTAGATTTTTATATTAAACTATAGTTCTCTGAAATCCAGTGGAAACAGGGAACTAAGTTCAAATGACTACTATTTGGATTTTAACATTCTGCTCTCCCCGGTCACAAAAAGGAGACTAGGGGAGAGCAAATAAAGCACCAAATATGTATTTCAAAAACAACAATGATAAAGCAAAACAACCCCCCTCCCAAATTAATCATTAAACTCTCATGCTTAAGGTTGAAGCTTTTTTATCTTTAGCTCACCTCAAACTACATCCAAGACTCAACAGGATGTGACTAAGCTAGGAAACTGGGAGTTGCTAAGCACTACAAAAAAGTTACAGTGCTAAAGCTGAGAAGGGCCTGAGAAGTCATTGATTCTTATGTTCCTATTGTCATCTCACCGCCCCTCTCAAGTTGTCATTTTACTGATGAAAAATCAAGGTGACAAAATTCACAGGAACACAGGTGTTGGCAGAGTGGAGACTCAAGCGCAGCTAGCCAGCCTCCAGATCAGTGCTTTTCAGAGTGAGTCCTTAGCTGTATTGCTCAGGCGGTCTCCAGCTGGGAGTGTCTTATATCACCTGATGGTTTTTCTTACTAGCATTTGGAAGAATAAACCATTTTTCCATTTTTGTTTTTACTCAGTAACATTTGTCATTTGAAGTACACCCAAGAGGGGACGCCAACCAACATATCGAAGCTCAGCGAAGTGGTGTCTGGATTTTCCCTGAAACCCTGTGCTCTTTCTCACCTGGGTAAACTATGGCTTCCTTAATGAGGTGACTTGACCATTAAATAACAGTTGCTGATGGTAGGAGTGATGGGCCTAAGGTAGGGTGCCCATCTACGTTCATGGATGAAATGGACCTAATGACATTTTGCCTCCTTCATGTGAAGCATTTTATGATGTCCTGTATGATTCAAGTTCAGATTTGAATTTAAGTTTAAAATAATCACTTCAGTGTTCCTAATTAAAAGCTTTTTGAAAGAGTTTGAGATAAATGAACTTTAAAAAAAATGATTAAGAATTTATTTCATTGGAGTGATTTTAGGTTCACAGCAGAATTGAGGGGAGAGTGTAGAGATTTCCCATATACTCTCTACTCCCCCAGGCCCACAGTGTCCCCATGATCAACACCTCCCATCAGAGCAGTACATTTGTTACAACTGGTTAACCTGCACTGACACCTCCTAATCACGCGAAGTCCATAGTTGACATCATGATTCACTCTTGGGGTTGTGCATTCTGTGGGCTTGAACAGCTATATAAGGACACGTATCCCTCATTATAGTGTCCTACAGAGCATTTCGCTGCCTAACACTCCTCTGTGTTCCCCCCATTCATCACTTCCTCACCAACCCCCCCAAACTACTGTATATGAAATTGACAAATTCCATGATTGAGATTCCACAGGTTCTGTTGGTGAACTGATCCCCTAAACATGGTTTCTTCTGTTGTACAGCTTGTATCAGGTACATTTTCCCTGGTACAGCGTTTGCAGACAATAACATCGACAGTGTCATGGCTCCCGATGCCGTTGTCTGTCGCAACATTTGTACTCACCATCCCAATTGTTTGTTTTTTACCTTCTTTTCTCAAGAATGGCCAAAGGAATCTGACAGGTAAGGAATTTAGAGTAAGGGTAATGCCTCACCTTTTAAAAACAGCTGATCAAAATGCACCATTAAAAATTCTGAGCCACTACAAATCTAGTCGAAATGTCTGTAAAGGTAGATAAAAGTTGCCCAGAATTCTTCACTTCTCTCTCTTTCGATTCCCTAGTTACTGACTGCAAACCCAGTGCTGTCAAGGATTCTTGCTTTTATTTAGCTTTTATTTAGGCTCCGCCTTTGGCAAAGGGAGAGTTGCCTACTTCTGAATGGAAAGAAGAATATAAGGATGGTTACTAAGGGGCAACATAGTCCAATGCATGGCTTAAGATAAAAAAGAGCTTGAAATATCAGTGAAATGTCAAATCTACAATGGAGAGAGATGGAAATGATGGCCTACATCAAGTATTTTTTTGAGGATTTTCCCCCTACTCCTGTGTATTAACACAGGAAACCATAATGAAGTGTGGGAAATTTCTTTGATCATTAAAGAGACACTTGCTGGGGTTGTTACCCTTCATTAACAAGATTTACTAAAAAATAACCTAAAGATTAACTCTGTTTCAAAATCTGGAATGCATATATTATCTAAATTAGAATTCCCAGAGGCCTTAACATTTGTTGGACTTGGCTGCTCATTTGGGGGGAGAGTGTCTCCCAGAGCAATCCAGCTAAGGGAAGCCCTTGACTTCCCTCTCCATCAGGCAAGCCTGGTTGTCCATTGAGTGAGGCAGTAATTTCAGAAGTTCTAGGTCTATCACGTGAAAATATGCCTGTTACTTTCATTTACTTAGCAATTTAGTATAATTTATTTGGTGTCTACTATATACCAGGCATTGTTCTAGACACTGGGAATACCAGCAGTGAACTAAGTAGATGAAAACCTCTCTCTTTTCGGACCAGAGTGGAAATGATAGTGAAGTGGTCAGATTGGGGTATATTGTCAATGAAAAACTCAGTGATAGCATCAAGATTTTAGGTCCACAGAATTGAAAGGATGGAAATGCCAATGACTGAGACATGGAAGGTGTCACAAGGAGCCAATTTCAAAAGAGGAGAGCTAACTATTTGATATTCAAAGAGAAATGTTGAATTGACAATTAGAAAGGGAATTCTGGGATTACACTCTAGATCTATGAAAGATGCCTTTGGAATGTGTTATTTTTGTGTAATCACTGCTCTTTTTAAAAATTCCTTTTATAAAATTCCCTATCAATACCTATGAGAGAAGTAGCACATTTGACCCTCAAAACGGGGTGGCAGAGGAACATGGGTGCTACAAGCCAAAATTTGGCTTTTTACATTTAAATTAATTAAAATGAAATAAAACTAAATATTCATTTTCCTAGCTGTACTAGCCACATTTTAATGTTTAGTAGCTCCAAGTGGCTAGTGGCTATTGCATTGAGTGGCATCAATGAAGAACATTCTATTGGGCAGCACTGCTCTCTACTGTGATTTTGTGCTAATTAGGAAAAGCCACTCCCTTCCAGGAAGATGCTGCTTGGATGTGAAGCCTGCAATGGGTTTCACTCATTCCTGTCTAAGCTTGCAGCAGCTCAGGATGGCAGATTTCTAGGTAGCATGAAAATTCTTGCATCTTTGAGATAGGCTGGGAATGTTGAAAGAAAGGAAATAAAGAAGGAAGATGCTAGGAACACTGAGACTAGAACAAGCTCAGATATTTTTTTTAATGAAAGCAGGTGGTTCAGTTTTGAAAACTTGTCTCCAACCTATGGCTCCTGGGGTCTGAGTCAGTGATTTTTGAGAGTACTTTCAAAATGGGAAATTTTCGCTATTAAACGGCAACATGAACTGACTTACATGTGTGCTGTGAAAATGTTATATATGCTTTACATGATATAGTTATATTTCCCCTTTTACCGTTAGAAATCTTTGTCTCCTTAAGACATCTAACAGCGGATCACCAGGCGCACGCATTAAAAACAGAGGAGCTATTTCTGGCTTCAGTCTTCAACACTGCAGGCACAGCATCCCAGGTAAACAATGATAGCACTGTCTTCTGGTTCAGATCACTTTCTTTTGAGGAGATTGATGGGTGCTAAGGTTTTGTGTCTCTTATCTGATATGTGATTTGTTGGCCAGTGTTCTGCCATCCTTCATTTTACCATGACACCGCTTTCTTGGGAGAAGAACTGACTGGGCGTTTTGGATGTAAAAGGTCACAAAGCCTGCCAGAGATGTGTACCGACACCATCTGGTGCCAATTTTTCACCTATTCTCCTTCTCAAGAACCTCACCATGGAGAGAAGTAAGACTCAAGAAGTGTTACCTAGTTGATCTGTACCATTGCTTTGAGAGGTGCATCATGTTCATGCCATTTTGTTTCCAACCTGCAGGGGTAAATGTTACTTAAAACTTTCTTCCAATGGATCGCCAACTAAAATACTTCATGGGACGGGAAGCATCTCCGGATATACGTTAAGGTTATATAAGATGGATAATGGTGAGTTTAACGTCCCTTGACAAAATACATCTGAAGGAGCTGGTCTACACTTAATATAACATGACTAAGAGGGTCAAAAATAGCCACAGAGGGATTCAAATTAGTGAAAAACACAAATTTACAATTATCTGTTATTTTCACTTCTCTCGCCCAAGCTGACCATGTTTCAAAGGTAAATAATGGGCCTTGACTAAACTGCATTGCCTAATATTAATTGAATATGTGTTTTAATTTGATGTGTTTATACACTTTGTATTTCATGGTGAGACTTGGGTCAGGCAACACTTTTATGTCTGATTTTCTGTTATTGAGGCCAGCTATCTTTCCTATTATCTTTTATAATTGAAATATCAACCAGCATCTTGGTTAATCAAATTATTCATTTTCTTTCCATTGGCTGTTACTTGATCTTTAATTGAAGCATAAATAATCATCATATGTTTGAAAAATTATGGACCTATTCAAGAAATACTCAAGTAGCTCTCTCTCAGGGGACTTCATTCTTTCAGGTTTGCATACTTATAAATACTCACAAAAGTTACAGGAAAAAATTATTAATTTGTGAGTGTGGTAGAGTGGAAATAAAAGGATTGTCTAGATTAAACAAGACCTATAACATAAAAATTAGAATAAAAATCTGATCAGCAGTGTTTCTAGACCAGTGGCCAATTCTGAGAATAGTAGCAAGGGATGGTTTGTAGGCAAACAGAATCATCTAAGCCAGCAATTTTCAGCCTTTTTCATCTCATGGCACATAAACTAATTACTAAAATTCTGCAGCACACCAAAAAATATATTTTTTGTCAACCTAACAAAAAAAAATAGGTATGATTTTGATTCCTTCACACCAGATGGCTATTGTTGTGTTGGCTATTGTCATTTTTTTCGTTTGATGATCTGAGGGAAAAGAGGTCAGTAGAAATAGAATGGACTATCCTGCTTGAGGCGGCCAAGGCAGGAGAGAACCACAGGGGTAACTCTGAATCTAGGTCCCTGAAAGAGTTGCATCAAAGATCCCCGAACTGTCAAAAAACAACAACCACCAAAGGGCAGAAGCAGCTCACAAACAGAAGAGCAGCCCAGGTTTGGATGTAGGTGGAACAGGAGTGGTGAACAAAGGTCAGCCCAAGTGGAAGTGGATGGGGGGGTCAATTGGACATAGACTTCACACTAAGTGGGAGGTGCTCAACTTTTTTTATAACGGTAGTTCTCAAACTTTAGCAGGGCTGATCCAGAGTCAGATTACTGGGCTCCACCACCAGAATTTCTGATTGATTGGGTCTGAGTTGGGGCTCAAGAAATTGCATTTCTAACAAATTCCCAGGTGGTGTTCTTGGCCTGAGGGCCACACTTGACAACCACTGATTTAAGAGAACAATCAGGGATATCATTTGAGAGAGGTAAGATTGCCTAGTAGTACCAGATGATGCATTTTGGGAGACATGTAATTAAAAGGTGACTTATTCATTTGTTATGTGCATGTTTTGCTTTGCCAACTTGATTATAATGTTTCTTCAGTGTCCCGGTAAATTGTTGAATGGAGGGAAAGTTTCTTCCCTTTGTGCCTGGAGGAACATAACTACTGATGGAAAATGAAGATTTAGGAAGCTCCTCATTGCCATCTCTCCATTGCAGAATGCACAACCAAAATCAAGGTCGGAATTGTTGGAGGAACGGAGTCTGTTCATGGTGAGTGGCCGTGGCAGGTAACCGTGCACATCTCGTCACTCCTCCAGAGACACCTGTGTGGAGGCTCCATCATCGGACACCGGTGGATATTAACAGCTGCTCATTGTCTCAAAGAGTCAGTACTGGTACTGTTTTTACTTGTTCACCATGCTCACACGTATATTAAACCCATCATTAATATTTTAGCACATTCTTTAGTGAAAAAAGGCAAAAAGGAAGAGCCACTCAGGGTCTACCAACATCAGAACAGATGTAGGAACATGGCTGTTTGACTGCACACCACTCAACTTTCTCGTTTAAATGTACACACATCCCCAGGGGAGTTTTTGTTATTTCCCATAAGAATGCACCATCTTCTGTGCATTGTCCTGGGCAGTGGGTCCAGAAATAAACTCAAAGAGGATTCCCCATTCTTTGTCTCCGTCTCACTCTCTTCCTCTCTTCCTCTCTCACTCAGTCTGTGTGTGTGTGTGTGTGTGTGTGTTTCCAGACACAGAAGGAAGAGTCTATCCTGCATCCTCACACTGGATTCCCTACTTAGGTCAATTTCAATATTGGCCAAACTTCAAAGCTCCATTGGGAGAGTACATGTATCCCAGGGAATTTTAGTTGGTCAGTATCTTCTGAGTTGTTTCCAGACATGGCTTGGGGCTTTTGTTTGTTTGCTTGTTTGCTTATTTTGTCAATATACAGCATACTCACATTATAACTCAAAGAGGCACTGTGGCCAACGGTCTTCTTTACCTTTTACATATGGGGAACTGGAGTGCTAGGAAGTCTGAGTGAATTTCTCAGGGTCACAGCTAACCAATGGCAGGGTTGAGACTAAAACCCAGAACTCTTCATGGAGTGTGTGAGTGAGTGAGTGTGTGTGTGTGTGTGTGTGTGTGTGTGTTGAAGGGTGGGAAGAGAATTCATTCACTTTTTCATGTTTAATATAAGGTAAATGCTAGCCTAAGACCTTCTAGATGGAAGAAATATGTTACTGAAAAATCTTACCATGAAATCACTTCTTTCCACCTAAAAGCCCATTGTTGGCAAATATATATATATATAGAGAGAGAGAGGGAGAATTAATAATAACCAGTTAAACAGCAAAATAACTCAACTGTTTGAGACTTATTTGGTAAAGGAAATTTTTTTCTCTATTGTTTGCTCCTTAGGGTACAGTCACTTCAAGATTTGCGTGTCTATGGTGGCATTTTAAATCAATCAGAAATAAAAGAGAATACATCTTTCTTTGGGGTTCAAGAAATAATAGTTCATGATCAGTATGAAGTGGCAGAAAGTGGGTATGATATTGCCTTGCTGAAACTGCAAACGGCAATGAATTACACAGGTATGTAGACGTCTAGCTGGAAAGCGCCCCCCAGTGATGAGCTAGGGGTCGTGTTTAACACCACCGGGCCCCCGCCCCGTGCCAGCACCCCCTCCACGTGTTTTTACGGGGAAAGGTTATATCTGATAAGTAAATTATGTCTGCAAAGCCGGCGGCCCAGCGGGCGAAGACTGACACTCTTCCCCGATTACTGAATCTCATTTGGGGGTACGGGTGAAATGCTAAGTTTTCTCCAGGTTTCTTCAGATGCACGGAAGGACATAATTTTAATAACATATTGGGATATTGGAGATGATTTATAGCTTCCTTTTAGGCGCAGAAGGACTGCAGGTCAGAGCACTAAGGCAACTTGTCCAGGGTCACAGGCCTCGGGAGAGTGATGGGCAGTGGGGAGGCGGTGGCTTGTGTCTCGCTCCCTCACCCTGGACTGTGTGAGCATGGGGGACGAAAGGGTATGACAATGAAATAAAACCGAATAGAATAAATAGAGAACACGTTAAACAATGCAAACAAAAAGAACAGTCCCCTGGAAAGAAGATCTCGCTTATGTCTGATAACTAAATTATGTTTTTAAAATTTAGATTTTCAACGGCCCATATGCCTGCCTTCCAAAGCAGATAGAAATGTAATGTATACTGATTGCTGGGTGACTGGATGGGGGCACAGAAAATTTAAAGGTACAAAAAAATTATGTGTCTCTATATGATCCATTTTACAGATAGAGAACACAATTTAATCATAACCTTTGCTGCTATATCATCATACAGCTAAAATGCAAGTAAAATAATAATGTTATTTATTATAGAAAGCAGAGGGATAAATGTGGACAGTCCCCTAAGCGAGGAGGATGCCACATGTGTGTGCCTGGAAATATTAAACATGACAATCTTTTTAGAGACAAATTATTTTTAATGACGTGCAGTGTGAAACCTAGCACTTTTCAGTAAATATTCTAGCCTCTTATCCAATTCTATTCTCTGGGAAGTAATTTCAGAGCCTTAATTAAATTTTTAACTTAATTAATGAAAAATGGTACAATTGTGAGCAGAATTTCTTCTTTATACTCTGTAATTGTAAAAGGCCTGTGAGGAAGCCCAGTATTCTTTCTTTCATTAGATTTTGATGCAGGTGATATTTTGACTATAAAGACATTTATTTATACTTAAATATCTGTTTATATTTTTATTATGTATATGGTTATTCCGTTAACAAACCAAAAAATTTTTACAGGCAAAATACAAAATACTCTCCGTAAAGTCAAGATACCCTTGATGACACTTGAAGAATGCCAGGCGAGATACAGCGAGTATAAGATAACCAGTAAGATGATCTGCGCGGGCCATAAAGACGGAGGGAAGGACGCTTGTAAGGTGAGAGTGACCCCACCCAGCTGAGCCGTTCAAATCACAGCACTGACCGCGTCTGAAACAGCAGTGACCCGTCCAAGCACTGACCGGGCCACCCTGCTTAGCTTCTGAGGCTTCACTCAGACGTGGGATGTAAAACTGAAACTGAAACTCCTGGCCTCAAACAGCAATGTGCTGGTTGCCAGACGGAAGGGAAGGGGGTGTGACGGGGGTGCAGGGGGCCTAATACATGGTGAGGGAAGATGATTTGACTTTGGGTGGTGGGCACGCAGTGCAATATACAGATCTTGTAACACAGAAACCCACACCTGGAACCTATATGATCTTATTAACCAATGTCACCCCCATACGTTTAATTAAAAAAAATTAATTAAAAAAAAAGCAGTCTCCTGCCAATGAGCAGGGAATGCACTGTATTCACTTTACTTGCACTGAGCTTATTAAGGGCCAGGATAGAACTTGACGTGAAATCAGTCTGAGCAAAATATGTTTCAAATGAGAATTGTCTGAACTGACCTATGTGCCTTTTCTTTTCTGCCCTTGTCATAGGGAGACTCGGGGGGCCCCCTGTCCTGTAAACACAATGAGGTGTGGTACTTGGTGGGCATCACGAGTTGGGGCGATGGCTGTGCTAAAAGGAAACGACCAGGCGTCTACACCAGTGTGGCCCAGTATGTGGACTGGGTTTTGGAGAAAACTCAAGCATGAGTGAGCTCCCAGGCGCCATCTGGCTCCCTGAAGGGCAAAGCAGGCCGCTCCCTGGAAGACGGTGTGAGGTCACTGAAGAAGGCACTGTGCCCCGTTTTCCTCCGCAGGGCACAACACTGAGGCAGTGATGAAACCTAGGGCGTGGTGTTTGTAAGAATGTACCCAACGGAAACAAACTGTCATCTTCCAAACGCCCATTCCGTGACAATCTCAGTTCGTTTCCAGACTCTTGCTTTTTGGTCACTCTTTTGCTGAACCAAAGAAATACCATAAGTTGATTAAAAAAAATTTTTTTTTTATTGTTCAAAATATTACAGATGTCCCTTTTTCTCCCCAATCACCCATTCCACCCCGTCCCACCCCCCTCCCCAGTCCCTCTCCACACCATTGTCCGAGTCCTTGGGTTGTGCATATATGCATATAAATTCTTTGGTTACTCTCTCCCTCCACCCACCCTCCCCCTCCTTCCCTCTGAGATTCGTCAGTCTGGTCCATGCTTCCCTGTCATTGAATCACTTCTGTTCATCAGTTTATTAAGTTCTTTAGATCCCACATATAAGCGAGATCATGTGATGTTTTTCTTTCTCTGCCTGGCTTATTTCACTCAGCATAATTTTCTCCAGATCCCTCCATACTGTCCCAAAGGGTACGAGATTCTTCCCTTTTACAGCTGCGTAGTATTCCATGGTGTGAATGTCCCACAGCTTTTTTATCCACTCACCTACTGAAGGGCGCTTGGGCTGTTTCCAGATCTTAGCTATTGTAAACTGTGCTGCTATGAACATAGGGGTGCATATATTCTTTCTGATGAGTGTTTCAGGATTCTTAGGTTATATTCCTAGAAGTGGGATCACTGGGTCAAATGGCAACTCCATTTTTAATTTTTTGAGGAACCTCCATACTGTTTTCCATAGTGGCTGCACCAGTCTGCATTCCCGCCAGCAGTGTACTAGGTTCCCCTTTCTCCACACCCTCGCCAGCACATGTCGTTTGTTGATTTGTTGATGGAGCCATTCTGACAGGTGTGAAGTGATACCTCACTGTGGTTTTAATTTGCATCTCTCTGATGATTAGCGACACTGAACATTTTCTCAAGTGTCTCTTGGCCATCCGTATGTCCTCTTTGGAGAAGTGTCTGTTTAGGTCTTTGCCCATTTCTTAATTAGGTTGTTTGTCTTCCTCTTGCTGAGTACTATGAGTTCTTTGCACACTTTGGAAATTAGGCCCTTATCAGATGCATCCTTGGCAAATATGTTCTCCCAGACCATGGGGTTTCTTTGTATTTTGAGGCTGATTTCTTTGGGTGTGCAGAAGCTTTTTAGCTTGATATCATCCCATTTGTTTATTTTTTCTTTTGTTTCTCTTGCCCTAGGAGATGATAAGTTGATATTTTTGAAGATTAAAATATAGCCAGAGAGATCAGGAAAGAATTGAGTAGAGGCCCCAAAGGATGAAAGAACAGCTAAAAGAAACCACCATAAACAGATTTGCTCAACAAAAAATGGGAACTAGAGAAAATGGGGACAGGGACAGTTACCATAATTTGCAAGAATCAATACTCTATGTACGTGAACACATTTGTTTTATAAAGGAAGGATGTGACTGGATTCAGTGGCGGGTTTTCAGAAGAGTCAGGGCTTCTGTTTATTTCAATGTTTAACATTTTTATTTTGAATTGGTTTGGGGAGACACAAGCTATGAGTGGCTGTGAATGTGGACTCCAGAGTTTCTATGTGGGAAAGGATTAGAGGCAGCAAGTCACTTGGAAGTGGTACCTTAGGGGACAAATCTCAAAGATTTACTCTCCTAGAAAACTACCTGGGCATAGGTGATATATTTATTCGGGGCAGCTGATGGAGTTGCTGGGAACACGCAGCCTTCCTCAGACAAGCTGCCATTGTGAGTGTGGGTCTACAAGTCTACATTTATAGATAATATATCTACTGGGCAAAAATAAATATCAAGTACACCCATACTACAGGGAAAACAATCTGAGAACAAATGGATAGTTATGGCAGAGCCTTCAGCATCTTCAAAGCAGCCCCTTACATTTTAAGTACTGGGGTTTTCCCTGTGGTGCACTTACCTGGTTATTGTTTCTAATGTGGTGCAATAAGCAAGGGTTTGCACTGTCTCCGTCACAGCTTTCAACCCGTGTCAACAGCTATACAATTCATCCAATATGGAAAATGTTCATTGAGTTATGCCCCACCTTCATGAAGCTTCCTTCTAGTCTATTTGGCACAAGCCACAAAAATAAATTAATCACACAAAATATGTAATTTTAAATGGAAATGAGAGCAATGCACAGGACTCTAAGAAGAGCATTTAGGGCAGGTTCAAAGACTGGGATGAAAAGGAGTTGGTCCAGAGGAAGACAAAATAAAAACAAAAGCAAATAAACAAAAACCCCCAGGGGTGGGGCAGGAGGGGGG